CAGCAAATTCCACAGGTAAAGAGCTGGAACTGAGAAAGAATGAATACATGAATAGAACAGCAAATCTTAGGACAAGACATGTAGTGCTAAAAAGATCATTAGAAACTATACCAGGGTTTTAAAGAAAACAAGGGGGGTGCTTTTCATCAGGACTACACAGCACATGGAGAGGGAAGGTTTAACCCTTTCTTCCTAAGCTGCAATTGTGAAGAAACACACACAGGCATGAATAGTAGCCTTTCATAAAAGTTGTCATTGAGATCTTGTTTTCTAAGGCTGAGGGATTTTCATTGGGATTACAGTTGGGAAGGGATTAAGCTTCCCCTTGTTGCACTGTAGTTCCAGTCAAAATCGGACATGCCTTCTATTGTTGTTGACTATCATTTCTAAGGTTTGGTTATGTAAATGTAAATAGTGGGAAAACAATGAAGAGAACATGCAAGAGTAGAAAGAGAAGAGAGTTGACAGAACCACACTGTAGCTGAAATGTCTGGACCTCTAAGGACAGAAATGTTTAAACACACAAGAGGAGCTGGACAGGTAACCTTTTATTTTTTAAAAAACACGGAAGAGAACTTGTTTAAGAATTGGTAAACACGGATATTACAATTTCCAAATTGTTACCAATGGGTACCTTTTGTGACTGTCTCCTTAGCATGATTCTTTAAAACAGGATGCAAAATAAGGCTACTTTCTCCCATGCCATTTGCATGGCTATATATCATTTTGTTTCACATGTGGAGTGCTGTTGAAGGGCTTTGCCATTCCTTGGAATGTGTCACTAACTTCGCTGATAGAACCCAGCAGGTGAAACAACTGTGTAAGGCGGCTGCCTTTTCTCTGCAACACAGTCAGTTGTGTTTTCTGCTGAAATGAACTAGTGTGAAATTAAGTCATGGCTGCAGCACATGTTTAAACTTTTAGGGAAATGCACCTCTAATAAAGGATTAACTCCTTCCTGTCTTCTGAATATGCTGTCTAACGATTTAGGGCTTGCTTATGATCAAGGTAAATATAATTCACTGACAGTATCCAGATTTTTCCTCTATAAGCATCAAGGTGGGGGGATGGGGAATTAATGGAATGAGAAGATGGGCCTTGCAAAAGGAGGCTTCCTGCTCTTCCCACTCCACTCCCTGGATCAGGGCAGCTAGGAAGCACACAGCTTGAGCAGAGAGGCTTCAACAGGTCTCTCCAGACAGCTTCCCCCTGAAGCTGGGTGTGCATAATAACACAGGCAGCAGCTGCAGCCTAGAAACTTGAAATGCAGCTGTCACCTGGCAGATTCTCCTCTTGCCTGGTGACTCCATGGATTTACTGGGCAAGAGGACCCAGCATGGCCATGTCAGAGAACCATGACACAATCCCCACCTCCGTTTTTTACTGAAACATCCAACTTAATTGAGGTTTTCAAGCTCATAAAGTAAAGCACCACATATCACAAAAATCTAAGGTAATTTGATCTTCTTGCAAAGACTTGAGTGGTTTTTATCCAAGTGCAGATAAGCAGATGTGTTAGCACCTCCCACTTCCACCATAACGTCCAATGCAAAACATAGGGAAGGCATTTTAATGGGTGCACAACATGTGCATCTATTTCTCATTACACAATTTCATTTTATTTATTTAAAGAACTGATAAACTGCTGGATGCCAATCATCTACATACCCTTTCCAGCTTGTTATTGTGCTATGCAGAGTGGCATAATATTGCTCAAAAGACAATGGTTAAATTGGCTCAATTGTATCATGAAATGCTCACTGTATCTTTTCTGTGGCAATGTTTTGGGAAACGCTTTCTATTTTTGTGATGTGTTCCGGCAGCAGCAAAAGTAACATTTTCATTTCTGAAAACAAGACTGTTGCAGTTGTGTGAAGCATCAGTGGCAGCAATGGCATAACATGCCTTCATCTACAAATACATGGAATTGCACAGGCCCCAAAGTGGCAGAGGTGATGAGGGAAACCAGGCCAGGGGGCAATCAGGATCATGCATGCAGACGTGAAAATAAAAATATGGGCTACATTCTCTTTTTGTTCACGATTTATACTTTAATTCAAGTTAAAGAGTTTGTCGGTTAAAAACAGTAAAGGAAACAAAAAAACCATAACTGCAAATGTACAAAATACCGGTATATAAATAAAATGGATCACAAATAATGACAAAAGTGACAACAAACACATGTTGTCATGTTGCAAACTGAAGTAACAGACAATATATGCACAATAACTATTAATTCATGATTTTCTACAGTGACTTTACAGAAAATTCACACATTCACATGATCATATTGTTGTTCGCCACCTAACTGGCAAAGATCCACTTTGATTAATTCTTGATTATAAAGCACTAATACAAATCTGGATTTTGTTCGGGAAGAAATATCACAGATACTGTGTCCATTATTACTAAATATTAAAGCAAATAAATTGAATACATTGTGAATTATTTCAGTTATATATCATTTGTAATCTGTCTTTTAATTTTATTTTTTAATTCTGTATACAAGAGGTATATAAGTTTTGCCTCCCTTCCCTACACACACGTGAAATTGCTGATTCAGTTGATAATCCAAAAGTGGGTAACTATGGACAAGGAGTAGTAAATAAAACAAAACAATGTGGCAGAAACATTCATTTGATGTATGTTCTAATGAGTTGTATTCAGTCTAAATCTTACACGTTCATTTAATAAAACACATCAGTTAGTTGGGGAGGATATCAAAGTCATCTAAGTACTGACGACAGTATTAAGGGGATTAATATTAATCTTGGCTGTTTCAGGTTATTCAAAAAATAGTAACTGTTCCATCCAACAAGAGCCAGAGGGCAGCATGGGAAAGCCTAAACAAGAGTAAGAAGATTAATGAACCCTGTAAATATTTGCCCCCGCCCCCGGTACATGGGGCGTTGAATCCCCAGCAGACTCAGTCATACCACCACTCCACTGCAAATCTTTTGGGCAGCTGAAGCTAGCATAGCTAATGCTTATTCACTATTGTTTTTGCTGATAACCAGTAGTACTGAGAACCCTGAAGAATAGGCAAGGGCCACAGAGCAGCTGGTTTGCTCAATTTCCCAGCACAGAACAAAACTCATAAATTATGGCCATTTCAATGGACTTGCTTGCACAAATAACTGTTAGAATAAATTTTCTACTCATAGAAAGCTACCGTTTCTTGTGTCAAAGGTGGAAAAAATGTTAATACAGCAAGAAACATTTGCTGTTATCATTCATTTTGTCAAGTTTTTAAAGTTCTGTAGAATGCCAGAAATTTAACATTATGTTTGCAACACAAAGTAGCTCCATTTATATTAAACACCACCAAGCAAGTGTTTGTCTTTTGCTTTGCTTATTTTGGTAAAAAACAACTCCTCCTCTACCAAGTTCAACTAGCAGTCAATCGTCAAGACAGTCAATAGTCTTATGTACGTCAGTATGACCATGGTAAGAAGTGCCCTGATTAAATGCTCTACTTGGCAGCTACTCAGTTAAATTACTTTGAATCTATGAATTCAATACACCCTAGTAATGCCATCTCTGATGTTAAGCTGACATCTATTTTGGTTAAAGTACAAAAGAGTACTACCAGTTCATTCCAGAGCCAGAGGGAGGAAATCCACATTTGTAAATTCTACCAGATGTCACTACAACTGCCTACCCATTGACCAATAATTAAAAGCATCCCTCTGCTCCTCTTTTCTCATTTCCATGAGAAACACCTTACTTTACTATTTATATCCCACTACACAAGCCCTTTCCCAGTGTTTCATTGCAGCCTAGATAAAAAGAACTGTGATTCTAGATCTGTATGCAAGGGGACTTGATATTTGCTTTCCTCACACACACAACCTGAACAGCACACACCAAATTCCAAACTAAGAGGAGTTTCAAAAATATTGTGTAACACAGTAAAATTCCACTAGGCTCTTGCAATCTCCTTGAACCATTCCATGCAGATCTCAGCATCCACTCCAACTCATTCATAAAATAACTGCATCAGAATGTTTCAGTCAAATCAGAGAGTAAAACTCCTTCTCATAGGAGAAACAGAAGAATGCAAAGTTTAAAACCCAGAGTAAGATATTAAAATTAATTTCACCTCTCTTACTCATAAGTAGCCTTCACACCAACTTTCCTGACTCAGACTACTTCAGGCTTCTTTCCTAGTACACTAGAAAATCTGTTACTAGGTCTTAATTTGGCATTATTCACTAACAGAAATATTCTGTTTACTACATTAAGCCTTAGTGTAGATGTTTCTTATTAACCATCAGATAAAAGGCATGATAGGTAGGCACCAAACAGAAAAATAGAGAGGGTCTGTAAGCACTTACAAAAGGATGCTGTGATTACTAACACCCAGCATGGGTTTCTCAAAAACAAGTCATGCCAAACTAATCTCATTTATTTTTTGAGAGAGAGTTACAAGATTGGTAGCTCAGGGGAATGCTATGGACGTAGTGTATATTGATTTCAGTAAGGCTTTTGACAAAGTCCCTAATGATATTCTTGCAGAGAAGCTGGTAAAATGTGGGAAGGACAAGGTAACTGTTAGGTGGCTTTGTAGCTGGTTGACTGAGTGCTCACTAACGGTTCTTCTTCATTCTGGAAAAAAGTGACAAGTGGGATGCCACAGGGTTCTGTCCAGGGACCACTGTTTATTAATTTAAAATCTTAGGACTCTATATGAAATCCATTAGCGAAACAATTTATAATCTTAAGAACTAAGCAGAGTATCATACAATGAACATTTAAGTATAAAATGTAGCCTGAATAATGGGGGAAACTAAGAAACTTAATTTTTTCAACATTTATTTAACTTAATCCTATTTTTCTTGAAGAACAATAAAGCAATCCTGTAACCTGCAAGCTACATAGTGTTCAACAGGACTTATTCCCAGGTATGTGTGCATAGGATTGTTCATAGAATCATAGAATAGTAGAGTTGGAATGGACCATGGGGGTCATCTAGTCCAATCAGCTGCAATGCAGGAATCTTTTGCCCAAGGTGGAGCTTGAACCCACAACCCCTAGATTAAGAGTATTATGGTCTACCGACTGAGCTATATTTGATAAAGCTTAGAGTAAAAGTCCTGGATAAAAAACCACAAAAAGGCTCAGTAGTTGTATTTTGCCAGATAAAAAAGGTGGCATAGGCAATGTTCTCATATATGGGACTATCACTGCAGTTGCAGTATAGTAATAATTTATTGTTATTTATACCCTGCCCATCTGGCTAGGTTTCCCCAGCCACTCTGGGCAGCTCCCAATCGAATATTAAAAACACAATACAGCATTAAACATTAAAAACTTCCCTAAACAGGGCTGCCTTCAGATGCCTTTTAAAAGTAGGATAGTTGCTTATTTCCTTGACATCTGAGTAGTCTCACAGAATAATGGACTGCAATACATTTTGCATTTATAGTTGCTAGAGAGAGAGTCAGAAAGATTGAAATGCTTTGGACTAACATATCGCCCTTCCTACACCTTTGTAGTCTCCCCTATCTCTATTTTTTCTAATCCATCATGTCCCTATGGGAACATACCCCCAGATTTTCCATGATGTTGTTCTCCAACTTTGTCACTATGAACTTCTCCAAACGTAACTCATAGCTAATACACAAATTCTGCTTTTTATATATTTTATCAGTCTATACACCAAATGGTCTATGAGCAGAATGTGTGGACTGGGAATTAATGTTCAATTGGTTCAAAACAACATTACAGGAAGCCACAAAAAACCTTGATTCCTCAGAACATTGTCCGTGTTTAAACACAGAAGTCTCTCCACCTATGCAGTGGAACTGAGCTCAGTGGAACTTACTGTACTGTTAGTTTCCAAATTATTAGGTTATTGAAACAATTTGAATAGTTTCACTTTAACATCCCAACACACTCTCAATCGGCTAAGTCACTGCATTATCATAACATGCAAGTATTATGGGGGAAATCAAGTTTATGATTCACTGGGGGACTAAGAAGTGTTAATTTCAAGTAATAAGAAAAGTTTTTTAGTCTTCTGTGTACTATATAAATATAGGCATGTGTATAGAAGAATTGTTTCTGTGTATGGAGCAAAATTTGCCTTCCCATACAGCACTTTAGAGATGAAGCAGTTTTGCATGCTGCTGTATCCACAGTCCATTCTGTACACACAAGGTCAGTCACATCCAGCGGGGATTGCATCAGACTCCTGGAATGCTGAAGTCCACATATTTGCCATTCAGCATGAAAACTGCTTTTCAAGTTCAATCAGCTATAAATGTTGCTTTGTTTTAATTTTCCACTGAACTTCCTGGAACCTATTATCAGACTGCCAGGGATGTATATTTAGCAATGGCAACATGGCCTTTTTGCCATTGCTCCACTGCTAATGTCACCTCCAATAAACAGAAACACATAACCTACCCAACAAAATACACTTGATTTCTGACAGTTGTTTACAGCAGATACTTCAAAGCCATTGAAGAAGAGTATGTCCAATGCTCTATTTTGTACTCTGTAATCCACAAGAACAAGAAGGAAAACCTTCAGGCCTCATGCACTTCCCATGTCCACAAGCTGAGAAATAATTCCTCTCCACTTCTAAAAACCAGTTCCCAAGCCTTGTTTTCATTCAGAGATTAAACAGATGTTCCACAGAATACCTGCCTTCACTGCAGGTACTCTGCCATAACAAAGAAGACCATTTCATTTCCCAGGATTCAGGAGTTACAGAATAACAGACAGGGGAAAAATGCCAAACTGAAATCATGATAACAGTTTTCTCTTCTGCATATATTGTCAAGGAAGGTACTAAAGCAGTTGTAAGGAAATCAAATTTAGAAACTTAGAATGGTGCCCCAGACAAAATCCAGAAAACACTTCAGAAAATGAGTTACTTGCAATGACATGTTAAAAACAGCCTCCCATGTAGTATCAATTCTACACAGGGTTACAAATATGTCGCTCAGAAATGTTTCTGAAGGTCATTTATTACTGTATGGCATGGGAACTACTGTTGGAAAAAGTGTTCCAGATCTGAAAATAATAAACTGATTTGGACATACTGTACACCCAAATGATATTGTGGCTCAGCCTACTAGAAATGGCAGAATTTCCAGTGCAAGTTTAACTGGCCACCCAAGAAAGATGAATGCAGGAAGATGGAAGAACAAATATTCAGTTTTTTCCTCCTTCAAATGGAGGCTGGGGAACAAAATAGTCTGAAATATGGGGAGACAATATTTAATAATATTTCCATAGTAAGAAGTGTTATAACTAAATCCTGCCACATAATCTAATAGTCTTATTTTTAATATCTGCTTTGTTGTTCAATTGTATTTTAGTTTTGCACATGTGAGTGATATTTTATTATCATTATTTCAGAGTGTTGTAACTATGTTGAGTTCAGGATTCATGAATCTAAGCTGTAGGAAATAGCAGTTAATTGGCATTTCCAGAAATGTGATCTCTTATTCCAATTATATCATTAATCTCTCAGTTTTTGACCAACAGTCCTCAAGGTGACTAACCACTAATAAATATGACTAACAGTAATTGAACACAAAATAATACAATTCAATGAAAAATCAATTATTATAACAACAACAACAACAGAGTACAACATAGTTCATCAAAATCAACTGCATAGAACTCAAGGCTCAAAGGCCAGGTAAAGCAGCAAGTTTTTCACTATCTCCCTAAAGGAGTCAATGGTACAGATCTGGGGACACCACCAAAGAGACAATATTTCTTGGAGGTTATACCATTTCCTCAAAAGGTGGTAACACAGATAAGAGACCCTCTGAACCAAATTTCAATGCCTAGGAACAAATAATGTTAATGCTACTGGAACATGCAATACATGAGCCAGTCCAAGATTACAAGGAAAAGAACATTTCATAGGGTAAAGCAAAATAACAACTTTTATTTGTTAAAAATCCTTAAAATGCTGAAATTGGGTGTCGTCGTCCCCTTTTTAAAAATGACTCATACGACTATATTGCAAAAATGTAGCACTAGGCTAAATGTAAAGTACTGAAATTCACAACATTTCATTTATTACACATCAATCTGTGGTCATTTGCTAACTTTTTTAGCAATTTACACAGAAAAAGTACTCTGTAAGACAAGGAACGTAACAGCAGCGAGGGTACTTGCTTAATGTGCAGAACATCCTAGATTCAATGCCTGGCAGCTTCTGTTAAAGGATCTCAGGTAGGAGTACTGGGAAAGACCTCTTTGCATGAGACCCTGGAAAGCTGCCAACAATGTACCAGACTAGATGAGCCAATTATCTCCCTAGCTTCATATGTGTGGTATACAAGTTATTTCAGTTTTCCTGAAACAGTGATTACAAATATATCCCAGTCCTGGAGATGGCAATATAAACCAGTACATCAGCTTAAGAGTGAAGAGCAGCAATAATTTTTAAAATCATGTGGTGGCCACATGACCAGGAAAGCTATCTGTGGACAAACACCGGCTTCTTCGGCCTAAAGCAAGATGAGTGCTGCACCCCATAGTCACCTTTGACTGGACTTGACCATCCTGGGTTCCTTTACCTTTTAATGTTTAAAACACACTACATTAAAAATTTGTTGAGTTATCAATCTGAAACAGAAGTGGTCTATAAGCAATTTCCCACTCATATTGGGCTTTTGGAGAGAGGACTTTCACATCCCTTTCAATGTTTATTTTTGAGTTAGCCATTATTTAACTCCCTCACAGAAATAGAGAATCAATTTTAACTGGATACTGAACTGTAATACTAGGAATTCTTAAGTAATTGGGCAAGTTGGATATGCATTGTGACTTGTTAATATTACCTCTGTAAATATATTTGAATTTAAAAGAAATCAAACATATTTAATAAACATACACTGAAAAGAGTATCAGTGTTTGCAAGTGACCACAATTAGTAGTACAAAGGAGCAATACAATTATTGGTTGACATGAAGAAATTGCACAAAATTGCTAATCAAATCTAGACTCTGTATTTGTAGTTGTCTTCATTCTCCTCACTGCTACCAATACAATTGTTCCATTTTATTTCTGCAGTTGTTTGTCCTGTAACAGCTGCAAAAATCAGAGCAGGCAAATTCAAAATGCACCACAGTGACACCTTCCGACCGAACATGACTGTTCACTTGCTGATACAATTACAGCTCATGATCTTCAGAACTTCATTGTTTCAGCCCTCCTGATCCTCTAAAAGTTTCTGGTAACTTATTTGTTGAGTCCTCTGGTTTGGTGGTGCTGTTACTGAACACCACGTCAGCCCATAGTAAGACCACGCTCACCTAAAACTTGATTGTGGATGAAGGGGCTGACAAAGCATGCATTAACAAGACATTTATGGGTAAGCTGGGTGGGCCTCGCCTAATTCAGCTCTGTAGGTACTCAGTACAGCAACAGCAAACAGGTGTTGCTATTGTCCAAGGAAGTACCATCTGCTTTACCACAAAAGCTTTTGATCTTGGGGTGGGTTTAGAGGGTTGGACTGGAGAGACAGACTGGGGATACTGCATGCCTATCGACCACCCAACGGCACCCTTGACCATCCTGGGGAAGGGGATACTGAAGTATTCAAGGACCTACTGTGACCAACTGGTTAAACATTTTGAGGATAAAACTGCTCAGCTTTGGAGTTACTTTGAATCTACAGTTATAGCAATCCAGATGAAGTACCTACTGCAATCAGCTAATGTGAACAAGGTCCTTGCGGCTATATGCCCAACCATATGCCCTCTTGATCTCCTGAGCGGTTTGTTTTGGGAGTACTCTTAATGCTCTATTTGCTGTGACTATTTGTAGTGTCTAATACGTGGAAATTCAACCAATATTCTTACAATGTAAGTTACAAATCTGTCAACGTAATCTTGTATTGCATCTTGTGATGGACAATGGATAATCCAAAAGACCACATATCTATCTGTAATGGTAACTGTGATGCTTCAATGGAATTTTCAGCTGCAAATTCTTTAATACTGACAAAAGTGGCATGAGAATAATAGTGACAAATGTGGTATGAGAATTGCAAAGACAATAATGATAGTATCGATACCAACTCATATGTAAAACTGT